CATCTTGGTAACCAGTACCCGGAGCTGGGCGCCCGAACCTTGGCGACTCTGGCTCGGCACTGCGTGGCAGAGGCTCGGTCGAGCCGGCCGGACATTGGGAGTGTATTGGAAAAGCTCAAGTTATTGGTTAAGGCATGTGCAAATGCTGAAGCAAAAGCGGCAGCTAAAGCTGCAGTGTTGGAGGCAGGAGAATCAGGCTCGGTTGAACGGGGGGATACGGAGGTGAATGGGGGTGAAGAGGGGTCGTCAGCAGCTGTGGCACCAGTATTGGTTGATGGTTGATTAGGAGTTGACAACTTAGGTTTTGCTTCTGTAAGATAGCTGAAGAGGAACACTTCAAAATGTATGTGGAATAGAAGTAGAAAGTCCTACAGGGTTTGGGTGATCATGCTGCTGTAGGGAGCACAAATACCCAACTTTATTTCTCGGCCTTACGCAAGGTCTTTCGATTTTGTTTGGGATTCCTAAATCTGGAATCATTTATTGTAAGGATTTACAGAATCCTTACTGAGGCACTCGTTAGCGAGGCCATCCCTAGGGTCACGCGACGAACCTGTCCTTCCTATTTCGTCGCACCGAACCACTCCCGAGTCGGCCTCCGCTCCAATCGCAACCATCACCGAGCCATCCTCGCCCAACCTCTCCGCCTAGCTAGGACTTCCCCTATTTAGTCGTACCTTTCTCATTGTATCGTCATTCAGTAATTCAGTAATCAGTCATTCTCGTTATTCGTTTTACTGCGCACTCTGCAAGTTCATTCATAACACCTGGTATCATAGCTAATTTCCTAGCCTACCCCGCTTTTTAGAGTGTAGTACTCCTCGGGGGGGGGACGAGGAAGGTGTTGGGCTGAAAAATAGCCCTTAGGATCTTTGCAGAGGAGAACTCTTGGGTAGAAACTTGTAATAGCGGAATCGTTTAATGAGGATTGTGAACCGACCTTGCACTGGTGTGTGAGAGCTGTTGGGCTGAGATAGCCCCTTAGGATCTTTGCAAGGGATAACTCTAGGTGAAGTAGTTGTAATAGCGGAAGCGTTTAGTGAAGAATTTGAACCGACCTTGCACTGGTGTGTGAGAGCAAAGTTGATTGAATTAAACAAGCAAATACAAGGATTTATATAAGAGTACAGGGAATAGATAGATAACTGTATTGCTGTTGTGGTTCGATATAGCGCGACTCGGGCAACTGCTCTGTAACGAGTCAGTTGTGTGTCCTTAACTGTCGCGCTGTAATTGTCGAGTCAAAGGTCAGCGACCTTTGACTTTCTCGTAACCTCCAGGCGGTTACCCTAACCTCCGAGGTTGACTCGATGCTTCGATTGGGACTGCTTCGCTTGGTGCCTTGGGTTTTGATACGACAGAAGCGCACTTAGGACTTATTGTTTCCAACACTCCCCTTCGCTTCTGGAGTGTCGCTGCTGGTGACGTGGCCTTGTCCAGTCAGCATCATGCAGTATTCGAACTTCTGCTTTCCGAGTTTCTTGGTCAAGTAATCGGCTGCCATCTCGGATGTTGGGCAGTATGACAGATCGAGTTTCCCTTTTTCTATCTCGTCCTTCACGAAGAAATAGCGCAGGGCGATGTGTTTCGTCCTGTTTGCGAAGCCGTTTTTGTTGGCGATGCGAATTGCCGATTGGTTGTCGCAGAACACGGTGAAGCTGGGTAACTCGGCTAGTTTCGCTTCTTCCAGTAGTTCGCGAAGGTAAAGTCCCTCCTTGGTGGCTGAGCAGAGTGCGATATATTCTGCTTCTGCTGAAGATAGTGCGATTAACTCCTGCTTGCTTGACTGCCAGGAGATAGGACCGATAGGCTCAAGGCGGTAGACATAGCCGGTGCGTGAGCGCCTGTTGTCGGTGTCGCCGGCGTGATCGGCGTCGACGTAGCCGATTAGTTTGGTCGGTGTAGTCACGTTTTTGTGATAAGTTAGTCCGATCGTCGCGGTGCTGACGAAGTAGTGGAGAGCACGATCGAGTTCCGCCAGATGCTCTGCTTCAGGTCTCTTGAGATAGGTAGCGAGCTGACTTGCGGAGTAGGATAAGTCAGGACGGCAGGTGACGGCGGCGAATAGCAGGCATCCGAGCTTCTTCTGATAGTCGCGTATGCCGGCGGGTTTAAGTAGAGTAGATTGCCCCTTTTCGGTTCCTGACGCGTAGCGATAAGGCGTGGAGATGGCGCTTGGTGTGAGACGAAGGCGTTTCGCGATAGTGTCGGCGTACTTCTCGGCGCTTAGGTAGATTGCGTTTTCTTCCTCACGGATGTTGAGCCCGAGGTATTGCGTAACCGTAGAAGAGACCGTGAGCGTGAGGTCTTTCTGGAGCTCCCCTTCGAACCACGCGGCGATGTTGTCGGTTGACCCAATGTAGAGAAGATCGTCCACATAGACGATTAATAGGACGTAATCGCCTCCTTTTGTGAGGCGATACATGCCTTGGTCATGCGGGAGTTGTTTGAAGCCGATGCGAATGAGGCGGGCGTGTAGGTACTGCTGCCACAGTCGCGGTGCCTGCTTGATCCCATAGAGTGATTTGAGTAGTTGACACACTCGGTTGGGTTCGCCGTGGGAGCCGTGCGGGAGTTCAACGAAGATTTCTGCATCCACAGGTGCGTAGAGAAATGTGTTCGCAACGTCGATCTGTCGCAATTTCTTTTTCTTCATGGCGGCGACGGCGATGAGGATTCGGAGTGAGGTGTGGCGACTGACCGGAGCGAAGGTTTCGGTGTAATCTCTTCCGTGCTCCTGGTCGAAGCCACGTACGACCCAGCGGGCTTTGAATTTGTCGATGGTGCCATCAGCTTTCGTCTTCACACGGAAGACCCATTTTCCGGTAAGAATGTTTTTATTTTGAGTTACGCCGATGGGAACAATTTTCCAGGTGTTGCGCTCCTCCAGTGCCTTCAGCTCTTTGTCCATAGCTTCACGCCATTTCTCCCTGTGTTCCCCCCCCAGAGCCTGCTGAACCGTCGCAGGCTCCTCAGGAATGCCGGCGCCATGGACTGCGGTGACGAGACCAAGGATTTGCAGCCCAGTCTGTGAGTATCGAGGGAGTTCTGGATCCTCGGGATAAGCTGCTTCGTCTCCCGTTTCTGGGTCGGGCATGAAATTTGGCCCTACCCTTTCTGCTTCGTTGGTGTTGACTGTCACAGGTGTTATGTAACCATCGTCGGCGAAACGGTAGAAGATTTCGGCGTTGTTACTGTCGCGAGGATTATCCTCATCCATGGGCACGTCGACGGAGCAGTATGGGAGAGGTCCGGCTTCTTCTGAGGCGTTGTCGACGTTCTGTTCATCCCAGTCTGCTTCGTCCGCTGCTGACGCGAAGGCTCGGTCACCACGAAAACCACTGGTGAGGTCCCGATTCTCGTGCAAGTTGGCGAGGTATGTCTGAAGGGTGAGTCTTTCGTAGAAGATCACGTCACGTGCTGCTACTGTTTCCTTTGTGTGGACGTCGAAGATTTTCCATGCGTTGTAATTTTTCTCGATGCCGAGGTGTAGTCCCCACTGTGCCCGTTGCGAAAATCTTCCCGCTCGTGCTTCTGGGGGTCTGTACTGTACCATGCACCCGAAAACTCGTAACATTTTCGTGCTGCCCTGCTTCCCTGTCCACAGCAGATGCGGTGATGCGTTGTTCGGGAGTGACGACGACGACAACAAGTTGTGCAGCATGACAGCGTGGTCCATTGCTGCTGGCCACTGGTGGTTGGGTAGCCGCATGCCACGTAACAGTTTGCGCATGCTGTTCTGCAGGGTCCTGTTCAGTCGTTCTGCAACACCTTGCTGCTGATGTGCGTAGGGAAGGGAGAGGAGTTGCTTGATCCCCCTTTCCGCCAAGAACTGCTTGAAGCGCTGAGAGGTGTACTCGCCACCTCCGTCTGACTGGAAATTTTTCAGTTGTGTTCCAGACTCTCTCTCTGCTATCGGTAGCCAGGCGGCGAATGCTGCGAGCGCCATGTCGCGGCTGGGTAGGTTGCGATGCCAGACGTATCGAGTAGCAGCGTCGATGAAGGTGATGGTGTAGTTGTAGTTGACTTGTCCTGGTTCGCGATTGTAGAGGATGTCGCTGTAGACTTTTTCGAGTGGTGCGTACGCTGGAGCGCTCGGGTTGTGATGTGAAGCAAACGGTCGATGAGGTAAGTCAGCTTCGGGACATATAAGGCAAGTCCCTCGTGCCTTCTGGAGTTCTCTGCCATCGGGTAGAAGTAGAGAGTCTTTGTCGAGGACTCCTGCTCTTATCGTGTTATTCAAAACTGTGTTGCTTGGATGTCCTGTGCGTGCGTGCCAGATCTCTTCAGAGGCGCGGTGTCCGGGTGAACGCTGATATGCGTCGGAGTTGGAGTAAAAGCTGGCGACGAGGTTGGCGCTTCGGTGGACTTCACGCTGAGTCGGATTCAGCTGTTGCGCGAGTGTTGGTGGTGCTTCGTCGACTGTGACTGGTGTCGTTGTTCCTGCTGCTGCTGATGTTGTTGCTGCTGTCGATATTGTTGCTGCTGTCGATGTTGTTGCTGCTGTCGATATTGTTGCTGCTGTCGATGTTGTTGCTGCTGCCGATGTTGTTGTCTCTGCTTCTTGTTGAATTGTTGCTAACGCTCTTGTTCGTTCTGCTTCAGGGATAGTGTGGGAGTACCAGAAACCTCCCGGGCTGAAGTCGGGATCGAGATCCGGAGGGTGTGTCCATTCAGCAAAGTTCACAATGGCGTCGCTGTCTGCAGTGCCGAGGTCGGGAGCGAAGTCGAGGACGAAGACGTTGTTCTTCAGCACTGCTTTCCCGATGTAGAGACCGCCTCTTCCGTGGTAAAGCTTGAACTCCTGGGTCGTGCTGTCGGCTTCCAGATGAATTCCTTTCGCCATCAACTGGCTAACGCTCAGTAAGTTGTAGCCGAGTCCTTCAGCGATGAGTACCTTAGACATGTGCAGTATGACATTTGTTTCTCTTGACTGAAGCTGTACCACTCCTTGTCTTCGTGTGCGCAGGTTTTGGTTGTTGGCAACCGTGATGATCACTTCCCGTTGGAGTCGATGTTCGCGTTGTACGAAACGCCCGGACGAGCACATGTGTTGCCCGCAGCAACTGTCCAAGAACCAGGTGTCTTGGCCGGACGGTTCACTTTGAGCGATAGCGGCGTAAGTCGGATTTGGATGGAGTGATTCGCGACGAGGCGTCCTGTTGTCGAGCTCCTCTTCCGGTGAGTAATGGGGTGGTGACTCTGTTATGCAAGAGTCGTTTATCTTGACCATGCAGTTGACTATATGTCTTGCTCCTTGTGCAGGTTGTCCAGTTGAGGTC